GTCTATTACAATCATTTGTAACATTATAATCTACAGTATGCAACAAGAGTCACAAAAAACATCTGCTTTTGACATTGTAGAGCACAAACATAAGCCATGTAAGCTGGAGAAATGGTAGTAAAATTGATATAGAACAGGATTGTGTTTTGTTTTGGTCAACATGTCTGTAGAGTACAAAGGCCTTTGGTTAGTCGGTTTTTACAGGGAAGGGGCAGGGGGAGGTTGGAGTTTTGTTTCGCTGTACATTGATGTCATCCCATGACTTTTGACAGTGTTAAGTTTCAAGGCACATAGAGATAAGTAAATGCAAAGTAAAGTACGCGTCAACAGCTTTACACCAGAAAACAAGCAGAAATGACCAGCTCACTTAAAATCGGTGATACCAAGATTACACTGAATATGACATTTCTTACAGATGTCGTGGATCATTTCAAACAGTTCGTTGATCTTCCACGTTGGGAATAAATAAAATAAAAAGCTGTGTAAGACTGCTTTCGGTTCGGTGAGGTGGCACGGCGGGTGGGATACGCCACCCTTCCTATGCAGCAACAAGCATAGGACACGACAATTACACACATAGTACTGAACGGTGCATCCACAGGAGTGCACGTAATAGCCCTTCGCAAATGAACTTACGTTGGAGGAAAAAAAGAAAAGAAAGTGGGCACAGGAAGGCGAGGGGTTTTTCCATTTCCCCCGCTTTCTGCCTCGGATCTGTACACTGTACAGTTACAGGAACCTGCATGAAATCCAAACAAAGGCCCCCCTTTTTTTCTTTTTTTTTTGCATTGGTGCTAATCTGTACTCAGCAAGCACAAAGCTAAGACACATGCCAACTTTGATAGTCCCAATGTCTTAGTTTTTTTCTCCTTTTTTTCAATTTTTTCGATTTTTATTTTTTAGTTAACACAACTTAATCTCAAGGAAAGACGTAAGTTTTGGTTTCACAAAATGACAAAGAAAGCAGCCAGTACAGACCCCATGGCATAGCCCCAGCTGTGTCTGGCGCTACATTTGCACTGGCTTTGGCGCAAATCATCTTCATAAACATCTATTAAACGTTAAAATATTCCATTATGCACGTAAAATGAAAATCCATTTCGTATCCTAATTTCAAGTGGCAATAACAGGCTTTGTGTGCTTTCTTTATTAGGATTCCGTACATTGCAGCACACTGAAGTGCTCTTCACTTCTTTTGCCAACAAATGGAATAGGAAAGAAAAACAAAGCCAAATACAAAGCCAGAGCAAAAGTAATTAACTTTGGAGTATGAGAGAATTACCACTGTGAGCATGAAGGGGGTAACAACCAGAACTGCAAAAAATGAGAATGTTGAATGAGTTTGGAATCGGAAAAATGGAAAATGTTGAACGGTTAACACACACACTATTGGGCTTAACTGATCCTCAAACCTTTGGTTTTAAACTATTGTTCCACACACTCACTCCACACAATGGTCTTTACTTTATGCTGAATTGTTCACCCTTATCAGCTACTCAGCCGAGGACCTGACATCTGCTTAACGCATTACGCACAACACGGTTAAGACATATGGAGCTGTACCTACACACATGCCCACAACGCGATTGTACACGCGGTGCATGTGTGTGCTCCTACTTTTGAACCGTGATTCATGGTGTTGACTGACCCTACAGGAAGTGGAACACACGGCAGTGACAAAACAGAGAATGTCATGACAAATTACGGAGCACGTTGCCCAAAACCAAATGGGGGATGTACTGTTGCCGGTGAGTGTGTGTGTGTGTGTGCGTGTGTGTGTGTGTCCACTCAGGACATGGTCTGTCTGCTTACTCATCTCTTCAGATTGCCCTGATTGATGGCCCCTGACGTGACCGATACACCAGGATGAGAGCGGACTGACAATGCAGCATATGAGCGCACGACCTCACGGCTGCTGCAGGGACTTGGACGTTGTGTGAGAAATGTCCTCACAACCAGCTGTGGCGCCTTCGTAAACTCTCACACTCACAACAACAGTCAACTTCTAAAACAAAATATAACAAAAGGAGAGTTGACGAAAATCATTCTTAAGTCTAAAAGTTGTCATTTTCGTTATTCCTAAATTAATTCAACCATTATTTTTTTTTTTACCACTTACTAGAATCCCTGATGTACAGGATTCTAATACGGGATGTGATGATGCCCAGTATGAACATTTAGATACTGATCTCCAGGACAGGCCAAAAGTAATAAATACGTTTTAGAAATAAAAAAAATAATGCCCTGGTGCCTGTCGTATATGCTAGTTGATCACAATGTACAATATACACAACAATGTAGATAATACAAAATGTACACAATGAACAATAATGTACAGTTTTACAGTTATAGAGATTAGGTTTGTATTTACAGGAGTAATGTGTTACCTTTATCTGTCAAACGGGATGCTAAATTATCTGCAAAAATACAATCTACCAAATCAGCGGTTATTAAAAATGGAAAAATGCCTTAGAAAATGAAAAAGACTGCTTCAGATATCTTTAATCCTCTACAGAACTAAAGAAATACCACTGATGTTATTCAAAGACACAGGTGACATGGCAAATGCTGCTCTTGCTAGCTAATGAGCACAAACCTTGTCTCTAAAAGTTGATAATGTTATCAAACACACATACCGTTGATCATTTAACTCAATTAAACTTATTTTAATTGAAAAAGAAAACTCATTAAAAACTATATCTGCTTATTTTATCTCATCAACGTTGACCAAGAAACTAGCAAGCTAAAATTAGCTTAGCTTTCAGGCATCTGACAACTCAGCTAAATACTTTCTTACTTGAATGCTGAGGGGGGAGAAGTACACACTATTAGGATTAGGAAAGGCTTTTTGCAAACCCTGTTTGTTTCAGTAACCATTTCTAACTCTTACACAACTAGTCAACATAGCGCTAACTTTAACATTCTATTGCCCCAGGGCAAATTTCTGCTATCTATCTGCCCTTCATTATAATATAGATTTTGTTGTCATCTGAAATTAGCAATTTTTTATTCATTTACTTCTTCAATACTAACATGTAACATCCTGAGAATAGATTACTTGTCCATCAGTGTGGGCAGAATTTAGCACAATAACACTGATAGCGCTACAAAATGGAGACGATAGCGAGTCAGGCATGATGCCCCTTTGTCCCTATTTGAGCAGGGTTGTGTTTGATGTTTGATTGACTTGCCAACACGTAAACACTTATCTTGCAAGAGTGACCATCATTTCTTCATATGAGATGTCTTGACGTCCATACATTTATCAATTTTTCCAAACCATCCTCTTCATTAGACTGTAATTGGAAAACAGTCTCTTCAGTCAGAGGCTTCTTCAGATCGGTTGTAGAACAGACCTCTACAGAGGATCTTTCCTGCCCACAGCCATCACAATTTCTAATAACTCCTTAACTAAATGAGTTACACCAACATTTGAATAATGCATTTTTAATTTAATTGACTTTAATTGAATTTACAGTTGTGGGCTATTTTGAAGGGGGTCTATAATATTGTCTAAATTTGTTCATCTAAACTGTACATCTAAATTTTAGCCCCTACACTTGATTCATGAAGAACTGCATTAGCTCTTTTCAATAATGTAGGGATATAAGTTTCAACCTCTGAGGGGATGGTTCATAAGGCAGTACAGAGTAAAACATTTCCCAGACCCATGATTGTTTTACTCCAACGTCAATAGATATTTCCTGTTCCCCATGAAAGAATAAAACAAAATAGAAACTTTACTTGATAACGATCAAACGCAGATGATCCCCAAAGCCTTTAGAGTTAATTTTAAGGTACCAATGAATGCTCACATTGTGCAATGAACTGGCCGTGGCTGCCATTTCTCAATACCATGACTGCTAGGTTTGAGACCTATTCCATGCCTTAAAAAAAAACAGTACACAGTGTTCTCATGGGGTCAACTTCAGTTAATACCAGACTTTTTTGCGTTAATCCGTTTGTCATATTACATAAGACTGGCTTCTGGTTTCTGGCCTGTTCATTGCTATGTGTTGATGGAAATCTGTCAGTCACGTCCTCGGGTCACAACTGTGGCAAGGTGAATGGATTCGACCCTCTTATTAATTGTCTGTGTCTTCATTGTAAGAGATTGACTTTTACAAGGACAGATGGTTTCCAAATTGAATCCAGTTGAATGAGAAATTAACGTGATTGTTTTTGGAATTCATCTCGTACGAGACACAAAAAAAGTTTGTAGGCACATTAGCCATGTATTTAAAATCCATTAACTTTAATAAGTCTATACTGCTATGAGAATAGTTCAACTGCCAAAAAAAGAAAAAAATTCTGTGATAATTATATTTTCATTGTATATATATTTTTTTAGCTTTGATGATGATGTGGGAAAATGAATTGTTTTATCGTCGGATATAAAACCAGCTAGTCTCCCATTGAAAAAAACAGATAGCAATTCTCTTATTCTATTTGTTGAAATACTTTTTGTTTTGGTTCCACTTTATCTGTAGACCTTCTACCTAAGTAGTTCAAGTTTTTCTTTTCTTTCTTGTAGTTTCCCTCTCACTGCCCCCTCTTCCTGCCCGTTTGAGTGGGCAACACATTTTCGTGCCTTCTGTTGCATGTGAACATTTTCACAAGCACACTCCGGCCGAATCAAATGTGAAAACCACAAGTCACAACCACAAGAACCTGGTCAAAAATACAACACGTACGAGCAGATTGTGCAGCAACAGGCAGCAACAGGAGATTGTAGAACTGGTCTCTGAAATTCTTTTTTGCCTTTAAAATAAAACTTTTTTTTTCTCTCGATATACAGTGAGCATGTTGTGGTCCTCTCCTGCAGAGGCTGACAGGAAACCATTCCCTATATACATAGTTGAGCTGTTTGGCCGAGTGCCTGTAGAGATAGTTGTCCATCTTTCATCCATAATCCAGGATGCTGAATTTTAGAGTTTACAGATCAATGCTGCCTCTCCCGTGAAGATGCCAGCAATAAAGAAAGGAGGGGGGATGGTGAAGGGGGGTAGACAGAGGAATAGTGCCACTTTGTTGACTTTTTGATCATGAAGGACCAAACTAACCATCTGATGTTAACGAAATATGACAGGGACACAATTCATCTGAGCGTGGTTGTTTCTGTTTCTTGTGTTTGAGAGGCTGTAGGGAATTATTCTGCCATCTGTTTTCCACTGAGGGGTTTTGTCCAATTCCTTTTTGCAGCATGTCCAAGGAATCACTGAGACCGTTGTATATTAGAACAAATTCAGTCTTGTTCATCCCCGACTCTAGCTTAGGTCTGCCACCCCCGTCGTTTTTTAAATCTTTTTTATTGGGCGAACAGCAGCTTCCCTTCACCCTGCCTACTGTTTCCTTCTTGTACCAGTTGAACTAGCAGAAACAGCCCTCTTAGGCGTGTTTGATTTCAGTGTCACCATCAATTCCTCTTTGCGTTTTAAAACCACTTGGGTAAAAATAATGATTTTCTTTCTCCCCACTGCGTCTCAGGGTCAACAAGCTGAGGTTGCCTTATTAAGTCAACGATCAAGAGTGATCAGTGTGCCTTTCCTGTCCCCTAAAAAAAAAACCTTAAGAAATAGTTTATTTGTCATTTAGACTTTGCTCATCAGTTAGCATCCATGGCAGAAGATTACAGGTTGTTCTTTTTCTAAAGCAGTCCTTTAGTCTGGAGTCAGTTTCCCCTGGCTCCCGCTATGTTTTTCTGCCCCTGTACTCTCAGATGCTGGTCTGCAGCTCGCCGTTAAGCAGGGCGGCGTTGTGAGTCTCCAAGTTGGCGCTGATGAGCACGGCTTCATTGACCATCCGGCTCCTGTCCGCCCTGCTGTCGCTGCGCTCGATCTCGTCCAGGCCCGCCACCTTCTTCAGGCACAGGACGTTCTGAAAGCTCTTCTTGAAGTTGTCCGACAGGAAGGCGTAGAGGATGGGGTTGGCGCAGCTGTTGGCGTAGCCCAGGACCACCACGAAGTCGAAGGTGCTCTTCAGGGCGGAGGTGGGCTTGATGGAGCCGGTGACGGAGGTGACGTTGAAAATGTAGAAAGGCAGCCAGCACAGGACGAACACCGCCACCACGATGGACACCATCCGCGTCACCTTGCGCTCCGAGCGTTTGCGCTTGGTGGAACCAACTCGCAATCCAGACGACTTCACCTGGAAAAGGGACCAGAAAGTAACGTAAATGACCTAATAATCTGATGGTTTTGGCGGAAATTAAACAAGTGGAGCGCAGTAAAAAGATACTTATCATATAAAAATGCAGTGTTCTTCTATATACAGTGTTAGAGGTGCTACTTAAAAGAGTTCCTTCATTTGTGTTTGGTAGAAGGCACTATGCGGGAGGGTAGTTTGGCGGGTATTGGCTGTTGTGGAAGTTATTTTGTCAGAGAAGCGGTCACCTGCTGCTGATGCTTTAACAAAGCGAGCCGTGCGTTTCACACGCAGAGCGCAGGAGGAAAGACAGACACTGCCTTCCGTGTTTCTTTAGCCCCTCGGCAGGTCGCCGGTCTTACAGACGTTAGACAGTGTTTTCATTTTGGAAGTTGTGAAAAACACATGGACAGTAAGTTTTTTTTCAAAGTAACAATGTGCTACACTGCCTCAGATAAGGTATTCGTGCTCTGTGCCCTTTTGCACCTCCACACCACCGTGGATGCTGATATCCAAAACAAAAAAAAAGACGTTTGGAAATATGACAGCTTTTCAATATGCAGTGCAGTCTTACAAAAAAGGAAAGAAAAAACACTCAAAGAAAGCTAAAGTGATTCTGGATCTTCTTTATATATACTGTTTCTAATCAGTAACAGGTAAATAATTCATTTGTTTATTGACCAAAAAAAAATCCCTTTTGCATGGCAGAGTGTTAATATTAATTAATGGACTCTGATACAAACTGTAATTATATTCTAAATTTATTTCCGCCACAAGACAGATGGAAATTGCTATCCATTTTGTCCCATTTTTTTAATTAACATGCAGACATTCCCGCACATGTATTTATTTTCTTTTTGAACAAGATGCTGCCTAACATGCATGCAATTCAGTAGATGCAGAGTTGCTCATTTCATATGAACTTCTGCAATTATTTACTTGAAACATTGTACAAAGCATAAATGAATGTTAGACTATGAAGAACAGATTTGTTTATAAGCTCTCAGGCCTGCATATTTGGTAAACCTCAGGGTAACAAATAAATGATACACATAAGACATGGCACTGATAATAACGAGGTTACATTATCTCTAAATTCTATGAATTCACGCTTTGCTACCTATTGTCTTGATAAACATGCAGTTTATGCAACTGAATCCCATTTGAGCCTGATTAGAAGATTCTTTTTTTTTTGTTTTCTTTTTATGTCAAGTTCAGGTCATGGCCAAAAGACAGACATGTTTACTTAGTTCACTATTAATGTAAATACAATAGCAATCAAAACTGTGTTTAAGCATCGTGCTAAGGGTTAGGTTCTGTCCTTGTCGATTCTTGGTACTGTATCGAGTATAGAGATGCATCTTTCCACCAACAAAATAATTAGTTTGATTTACTGAGATATATAAAGAGCAGGTTGTTGAATTTATTATTTTTTTAAAGGAAAATGCAGATCAACAACCTGAGGTTAGCATTATAATTAAGTTAAACCTCGACTATAAGGACTGCAGTAAAGAAGATATGAGATGTTAATTAGTGAACTTAGACATGAATCTACAGCACTCTTGGGTGTTGCTTTATTTTTAATGGACAGATAGGAAAGATGTTCGCTCGTGTAACTGCAAGAGGCTAAAGAAGTTAATAATTAAATACTGCTTCCAGCAACTCATGGCAGTGCTAAGTATACTGCTGTAGGGCAGCACTCAGGCAACAGGGAAAGTCAAAGAAATGTAGAAATGAACTTTCTTGGAAGTCAACCTCAATCGGAGAAAGACCCTTTTTTCTTTTTTATCACATGGGACATCTAATTTGTCCAATATATATTGCCTTTGATTCCAATTTTTTCAAAAATCTCTAGGCCCCAAAACATTTACAAAAAAAATCAAAATCCAACACAAATTCCTTGAAATGAAAAAATGTAATCAAAATCTCATATCTGCATATCTCATACATTATAATCACAACAGGGTATCACAGCGTTTAAGTGTTTCAATATGCTGATGGCATTTTCCTCTACATTGCTATACATGAAAAATGTTGTGTCAAATTTTATAAGTCTGCAATTTATCCAAAAAAAGTTAAGCCATCTGCTCCACTTTCAGGATTATCTCCTCTTTGAACATCAGGACTTAAAGATCTGGGATCTGACAGATCAGTTGGTAAACCATTGGGATATGAACGTTATGTAATTTGTGTCTTATAACCCTCTGGTCTGCCTTAGTGAATTACTTCATTATTTTCATCATGTAAGTTTTCAGCTCTAATAGTTAACTGAGAGCTGAAAAGGAAGAATTCCCCATAGTTTCCACCAAAGATTTGTTATTTCTGACCACACAACAGGTTCTGTTCTTTAGTCTATTAACGAGCTTAAGACCTGACCCATAAATCTAAATAGAACTTCTTCCTTTCACAGTAGGGCTTTCGATTTTATGAATGGCGTGACAAAATGTGATCAAAGAAATTGATTTCTTGAAGTTACACTGACCCCTGTAATTATTTTCCTGATAGAATCAAGCCTGTGATTAACAAGTGCTGCCTGAGGGCCTGATTATCACAGCAACCTAATGATGATTTTTAGCCAAGAACCTTAAACTGAGATGTTGTAAGAATCTTCGAATCACACTGTATACTGCAGATAGTGAAATATTTCAATGTTGGGGAACGATGTACTGAATATCTCTCCACAATTTATGGACGCGTGTTTTTGTTGTTGTTTTTTTAGATTGCTGCACCTCAAGCCTTATTTCAGAGACACTCTATCTCTCTATGTTGTGCTTCTTTGTTCTGTTTCCCCTATCCCAAACTCTTTGAAAAGTGCCTCTGCCATCAATACAACATTAGCTTATGTTTTCCATGAAATGCCGAGTCATTGTGTTTTTGTTTAGTCGCGTCTTTCAGCGATGCAACTTTATATTGGAACTCGGTCCTCCATACTTTAAAAATGTGTGCTTTTTAAAATAAAAAATGCAACAACACGAGGTAAAAAAAATACCACAATGTAGAACGGCGAAACCAACGGCAGCATCTCACCTTGACTATAATGAGCAGGTAGCACAGACATATCACTGCCAACGGCATAAAGAATCCAATGAAAAAGGTGTAGAATATGAAGGCCGTGTAGTAGACGTCCTGAGGCTCGGGCCACACTATCCCGCACACGGGCACCTTATTCAGCCCGCTGAAGATCATGGTCGGCAGGATGACCAGCAGGGAAACGACCCATACTGTGAGGTTGATTAGCTTGGCTATGCGGGGCTTCCGCCATTTTGTGGACCTAATGGGGTGGACGACGGCCAGGTAGCGATCGATGCTCATCACCATGAGGCAGAAGATGCTGGTGAACTGGTTGAGAGAGTCTGTGACATGGCGGAGGAAGCAGAGGAATGAACAGGGGAAATAAGTTAGTGGTGGATGTGTCACATGGTCGGTCATCACATGAATTTAGAGATGAGATTCAACAGGAATTAGTTTGGGGCTAGTTTCTCTTTGTCGACAATGATGCTGAACTTCGGAGGTTATGGCTTAACTTCACGGGAAATTTAAATTTCAAGTAGGGCTGTGTCCAATTATCTCTTACTTTCCGAAAGACGGCGGTCAGGGCACTATTAGTTTGGGTATTTGACTGGATTTCAGCTACTTAGAACCCAGCCTAAAGGGGACCAATGGGTTTTCCCATCTAAAAATGTTTAGAGAGTTAGAAACGAAACATGCACAGCTCATTTGCCACAGCGTAACCTCCAAAATCGATATTTATTCATTAAGTCACAATCTTCCCCACCCAGGAACAGCTGCTTTGCTTCAGGTCAACACATCCTCCTGCTGATCAGCTGAGCCTGTCAGGGGCTGTCAGACCTGATGAATAGCTCTCTGCAGGGCATAGCTGGAGCCCACATTTTAAATGTCTTTTCGGAACGGTTGCCATTTAAAAATTAGGCCAGAGGATTGATGAGTCCCTGCTGGTCAGGGGTCATGTAAAAACGAGCAACAACCTGGATGTTTTTTCACACGAGGAAGCAGAACAGAATAAGTCATTGTGTTGGGCGAAAGAGAAAACAGCACTATCTGTAGCATTAGCCGAAATCGCTATTGCATCTCGTTTTCTGGGTAGATCCCTCTCTCCAAACCGAGAGCTGGGATGTGATGGTTATTAGCTGCAGGCAAGACACTGACAAGTCCCAGAGAAAAGCCTGAAAGTGCATCTTGTTTAGTTAAAGCTGTGCATAAACCAGAGTAGAAGTTGCTATAGTGGAAAGAAGTGAGGCATTCTCCAAGCCTAACACAATAGTTTCTCTTTTTTAAAACAAGCAAGTTGCACTTTGTGAGTTATTGTCATCTTTGTGGGGCTCTTTAAGAAAGAAAAAAATGTGATCAAACAGCCTCCAACAACCCTCAAGAGTCTGTTTCAATTAGGTCCCTTTAAAGGGTTAATATGGTGGAATGCCTGGTGACGGGGAACAAAATGGAGCATTGAAATCGAGGCTTTTGCATGACTAATACAACAACTCCGCCCCATCAAAAAAGGTTTCACACATTCTCACAAAAACCATGTTTCACTTCTCCAGCGGATAAGAAAAGCCCGCATGATCTTTTTTGTGTTTATTGCAACCATAGCAGATAACGTCTCAAGGCCGGCTTTTCACTCGTGGGAACCCGCCAGGGCTCCGTGGCACTCGGAAAAAACTGCTGCCGCCTGTGCGGTGAATCACCGGCCTTTTCGCTTTCCACCCACCTACGGTCATGATCACCCTGCACAGAGCCTCTCCGAAGGGCCAGTGGACCAGCGCCAGCTGCAGGGCGATGAAGGGCAGGCTCATCATGCACAGGACGTCGGCCACCGCCAGGTTGAGGATGTAGATGTTGGTCACCGTCTTCATCTTGGCGTAGCGCAGGATGACGTAGATGACCAGGGCGTTGCCGCACAATCCCACCGCGCACACCATGAAGTAGATGAAGGTGATGACCATGGAGCTGGTCTTGTCCTGGTGGCGCTCGGTGGTCCGGGTGACGTTGAAGTCCAAGTAAGACTCGTTCTCTTGGGCGTAGGAGTCGTAAAAGAGGGGAGCCGGGATGGAGGCGTTGGGGGAAGGGGGGACAAATGACCACGGATCCAAGGCCATGACTTTTGGGTGGACTTAAGAGATCAGAGATTCGAAGTTTCTAAAGACGATGAGCGTAAGGAGTAAAGTCGTAATCAGAAATTAGCATGGCTGTGATTAATGCTGACTCGTGTTATTCAAAGCTATGAATTTACAGAACAAGGTTGTAGAGGTGAGGTTAAAGGGACTGCTGGGGTTTATCCAAAGGGAAAAGATAACAGCCAGGGGTACTGGGAATGTGAGGGTTTGAAGTCTAAGGGTCTGGGGCTGTAGGGACTGGGATAATCAGGGATTTTCACGTACAAGGAGCCACGATTATCACATTGTAGATACACGACAAGATAGCAAGAGCGATCTATAGAGAGAAAGACAACAGAAAAAAAATAGTACGTTTAGCAGAAGAAAAAAACTTGACGATTAATAATAGTCCTTCAATATCCATGGCAACAGGTGCAAGGTGACTTTACATAACTATTTTCATTCTTACAACCAGTGTAACATTTGAAATGCTCCTTCAAAAGAATACTTAAAGTATCACCTTTATGTGTTTTCTTTCTTTTTGTTTTTTAGCAGACCAACACATATAGATAAGCAAATCAACATTTTGAAGAGGGGGGCTGTGGGATTTGTTACAGAGCCAACAGTCATCAGCACACCATAGAATTTCCAGGCAAACGTAACTAACAGGGACAAGCATATCTCTGTAAGAGCAGGAGCCATAATCACTGTGCTGCTCATTTGTATTGTTAACATGCATTGTACACATGCAAACGAGTTTAGACACTGAACAGGCGAACTCTAACATTCCAGGTCCCACATACGTGTGTGTGTGCGTGTGTCTCTTCCACCTATGCATACATGCAAAAAGGCACGACAAAGCAGGAGAACGACCAGGGCGCTGCGCGACCAAAGACAAATGTTTATTCAATCGATCCCTGGGACAAACAGGTCTGACGCTGGAGCCTGTGGTGACAGGGACCAGCTCAACAGGGACAGATTTAATTTACCCGAATTACATGAGATTAGCACACCAAAGCGCGCTCCAATTAGATATCGGCTGCAGTTAACAAATATACACACATGAAACTCAAAAGATGACCGAAGACAGCAGCGTTTGTGGATGACTCAGGATTTTTTTTTATCCCTGCTTAATTCAAAAGGATTCTTTTCTCATCCTATCAATTCTGGTCAAAAAAGAATAGAAAAAACAAACGGCAACGTGCCTCTTTAAACATGCTCGTTCTTATGCTCATTTCTCTAAAGACCTGGAGGAATTATAAGCACGGTCCCAACTTTCATGCCCAACAAAGCAGATTAATCAGGTCAATAGCGGCACAAAAGGATGCACGTGTTTCTCATTTCACCTTTCTCCATATTGTTCCCTTTACTTTCTAAAGGGTGGGATCGAGTTTAGAACACTTAATCGTCCAAATCGTGTCCAATCGTGACTATTCAGATTTAAAGGAATGAATGTTCCCATGTAGCTTCTTTTAGTGAGACCTGTGGTTAGAGGACAGAAGGAGTGCAGGAATGATGGACCCCTGATCCTATTGATGGAAGGCGACAGGTCAGGGAGATAGTTTCCAAATCCAAATCCCTGAAACGGCAGTGCTCTGGAATTTGTCAGTACATCGAACCATACGTCGGTATTTGCAAACAGAGCTCCATCCAAGAGAAAGCTGCCAGTGAGTCACAGAAGAGGGACTTATTTTTCCTCCCGCTGTCAGTTTTTAGCCTCAGCGGAGGCCAAACCTCCCAGGTCCACTGCGAGACGCCGTAAGTGCCTCTACCACAGAGTTTGGAGCTGCTCTAAGGAAAGTCCGATGGGCTTTATCCTCAGAGAGAGAGTTAAAAAAATGCATTGGCAGCATCTCAGCTTTGCGCCGACTGCGTGAAGTGATGAAGTGAGAGGAGGGCAGGGAAACAGCAGAAGCAGCTCAGCCTGTCACAGCCTCCCAGTTAACCTGCACATCGTGTGTGTGTTTGTGTGTGTGTTTTTGTGTGTTTGTGGTTAGAGCCCAGCTCAAGGAGACGCTCTATATGACATGAAGATGATAAACTGATACCATAGATGTTTTTTAAGCGTCAAAGCTCTGAGTTTAGACCGGATGTCTTCCTAAAAGTTGTCAATTGAGTCAAACCCATGCATTTTTTTGTTAATATATCTTTTAATGCAACTTAGTAATGGAAGGCTTGTTCCAACACAGTGTTGCTTTTTATGTCAGTACACTTTGTGATAGCTTTAAGGAAAAAACGCACATATATAAATACAGATATATACCTACACTATATACTAAGCTGTATATTATTCCAAAGAAGGAGCCAATTTAAGAGGTACATTCCAGAGAGCGCATTTTTTAAACGAACGGTTTTTTCACTCCCCCGGATTATAATCACTTACATGTAAACGTAGAACTTCAGCATCACATCGCATCCAAATGGGCAGGGTGTCCCGGGGGGGGAGAACGGGGAGTCCTGGCGCTCCAGAGCGGCGCCGACCCGCCGGGGAGCTGCATCCCCCCGGCCCCTCCATCCATCCACCTGCTCCCGCAGCCTTACGCACGGCGGTACGGAGCTGCCACCAGCACTACATCTCTCAGGTCATTTTAATTTGGTGGTTTTTGTTTTGTTTTGTTTTTTATCGCCGAGAAATATTCCGAGATTGTTAAATGGAACTATGACTCCGGGGAGAAGAGAAGAGAGGAGAGAGAACCGGCCGCTTTGCGCACGGCGTGCGCCGTTTCCAGCGAGAAAAAGTCTTTGGCACCGGAATCCGTTTGCGACGGGACTCACGACTGAACTGAGGAGAGGAGAGGGGGGGGGGGGGGGGGGGGGGGGAGAAAAAGCGAGGGGGTGGGGAGGTGGGGGGGTCTGATGATGGTCTGAGGGAGAGATAGGAATATTGAACGAGTCACCGCTCGTGCGTTGGTGTGGGCCGCTTTGCTGATTTGAATCATGATTTTTGCTCCTTTTTTCTTACCAAGTGGTCAACTGTGTTGACCACTGATTAACACACACACACACACAGACACACACACTTAAAATTCAAGTGAACAAAGACATACCTGGATCCATATAGGTGCCAAAATCTCTTTTTTTTTTCTTTGCTTTGCTGCCTCAAGTCATTTTGTTTGACAGTGTCTAAGCAGCAAAAATGGAAAGCACAAAGACGAAACCAGCCACAGGAAGCCAAAACGAATGATGCCGCAAACAGAATGACTCTTCACACCCATCAGCCTCTGCTGAAATGATCCACGAGTGCCATCCAGGGCTCGCACGTGCGGAGCTCACGGCGAAGGCACTCCAGTCTGAAAGCGATGGAGCCACTCTTCTGTCTCTATTTAAAGGAGAAGTTTTCCAGCCGGAGCAGATGGCGGGCATCCTCCTTGACCTCTCGGCGGAGAACTCCATGGGAAAATGCGCGGCCGTTATCTGGTTTTTAGGGGACACAAAAGTGCAGCTATTATTATGACCGGGCCGTTTCCCTATTGAAGATTAATAGCCCCGTTTATGTCCAGCATCACAGGGGAGCTGAAGATACTCAGAAAGAGGGAAGCACGATCCAAGAGAGAGGATGAGTTCTTCAAACCACCGGTTTTTGAGGATGATCTACCAAGATGTGTCACCAAGCATCACGACTTTTCTTTTCTGTCTTAAGGTGAATAAATTTACCTTAAAAAAGAGGAAGGTTTTCTTGGCCAGTCTCACTTATGCGCATCATAATCAAACGGCCTGTGAGCGGCCCAAAAAGGTCTGGCGTGCCCGAGATGATGAAGACGAACTGGTGGGATTTCCAGATGAAGCATGTTAGTTTTTTTGTTCGGTTTGAGGGTCCAAAATGGCTTTGTGTGTTTCAGAAAAGAAGAATCTTTTGACGCTGTTTATGTTTCAAGCGCCTCTCATAGCTCAGCCTCATTTACTCCCGAACCCCGGCCTTCATCGAGCACTCGATATTATTTCAAACTGAGAGTAAAACAGAGAGAATCTCCATTACTAATGAGATACAAAAGACTCCTCTTACCTAGTTCCTATTTTGCCAAGAGACTGGATGTAACAGTCACAGACCTAAGCTCTGCCTAATACTGCACACTGAAGGTAATTGTTATTACTTACAGTATTAGATGGCTTATTGAAAGATGTTTGAATCCATAAATTTAAGCAAATTCTCATTAGGCTACATTATTCAGGTGCATCGCACCAATTGACCCAGAGATCCAGTGTTTGCTGAATGAGATGCAGCCTTGCAGAGATGCATTAAATGAGCATGACTCATGTGCATGACACTGCATTTTCGATGGGAAAATTCGAGTTAGAGTATATTTGAGTGTCTCTTTATGTTGTTGTCAAAAAGTTCAGAGTTCCCGAGGGAACTAAGGAAGTTATACCTACTCCAGGTAATAAAACACTTACCAGGAGCTGCTGGTCTTTTACAGCTCTGGCTGATTGGTTTTTCTGACTTGGGGAAGTGAAAACGGCCATTTTTTAAGATTCATGTCTACTCCAAACCACATCAGTCTCCTGGATCCGTCAAGCCCGTATTCATAGCAGAATGGGAGATGCCATAATTCGTCCGACCGAATCTTGGATTTAAATAAAAGTAGGAGCAGGAAAACCCTTCAAAAATGGTCAGAGTAGCAAATCTGAATTTCTTAGGGGTGGAGATTTATAATGATCAGGAGTGAAATACCTTCTATTTAAAATGTGATCTTCACATTTATAGATGTTAATTGGCTATTCACCTTTGAATTGCCAATTAACATCTATAAATTCACCTTTGAATTGCCAATTAACATCCATAGCTTTGAATTAGCACACATTACGAAATCGTGTCACCTGCTATTTGGGTTTATATTAGCAGTTCAAACTAATTTGGGGCAAAACACAAAAGGAAAACTAAAAACAGAAAATGATTTTTGCCATTTTGCCGAGAATGCCCTCGCCAGCTGAGGTTTCACATTGAGGTCCCTAACATTGTTTGAGTTATTTTGGCTGACATGTTTTCGCTCTCGTGCAGCTTTGAAACAACTTTCACTGTATTCATGATCGACAGGGTCCAGTATCCATTTTAGAATAAAAAAGAGAATTTTAAAATTCAGTGTCAGCGCTCATTACCATCACCCGGTTTTTAAATGCAACTCAGGATTCTTCTGTCCTTTCGCTCTACTAAACAAAAAAAAAACACACACACGCACACACAGACACACAGCTTTGAAACATCCATGAGTCAACAACTCCCAGCTCGGCCTTAAACTCTCACACTCATCTGCGTCAACACGATAGCCCAGTTTGAAGTCCATTCACGATAAGGGCCCCCCGAGATCAAACACCCTGAGATCAGACACTCGCGCTCCCCCCGTCTGGGCTCCCACACTATGCAGACGGGAGAACCCAGCGGTCAGCTCGGCCGAACTCCTCTGATTCATCGAGGACAAGCGGTGGTGGGGAGCTTTTGGAGTTTCCTCTTTCTTCTTTGTCAAGGAGGCCTCGCTGTTTTGACGAGGTGTTGCCAGAGAAAGTGGAAACCTTCCCTCGTGCTTTTCCCCTCCACTGACCAGCAGCTCTGGCCTCTCGTTCTGCACACTGACCGAGTTAGAGGCTCTTTCAAAGCGCAGAGCACTGAGACCATGCTCACTGCAGGGCTCTGCAGAGAGAGAGAGAGAGAGAGAGAGAGTAGACCTTCCTCCAGCCATGATTTATCTGCTTTTAAACACTTTGAATGAAACTGCAGCGTATCTTATCCCCCCCCCACACACACACACACACACACACACACAGTAGTGTCAAGGACACGCACGTCCACAGTGCAAACAAAAGCATATCCCGGACCCTCAAAGTCGCTGGGTTTTTAAATAATTCCTCGAATGCTTTTCCCTCCATTTCTTCTCCTCCAGCCGTTCGCTAAAAATGACAGCGTCGCCCCTCACAGGAGGAGTCCCCCCCCTACACACACACACACACACACACACACACACGTGCCGCTGCCGGGCCGGGAATGGCGTTGCTTTTAATCATTCATGCAAGATATGCTTCCTGGATTTTTTTTTTAATGTATTTATTTATTTTTTCCCCGTGGCTTCACATAAATGTTTAATTTTATCTGACCACTTAAGCTCTTTAGCCCCTGATAGCTCGGACTGACCGTGTCACACCTGGTCAGAACAGAACCCCCCCCCCGTCCGTGTGTTAGTTTATGATGATATGTTACTAGGTTGGGGTCTTAATAGTCATTTTTTGCAGCTTTTCTGGGCCCATGTGCATCTCTTTTATTTGATTTTATGATTTTACACACGTTTCAGTCTATTTTTTCCCAATGAATCACAGTTTCCTGTCTTCTTCCACACACCTGTCGATACCTGAGGAGCCAGCAACTTAAACACCAGCGCCAAGCGTCCCTGTTAAGCCACCACGAGAGATAATGAGGCTGTGCATTCCTCCTTCCGTCACAGCTGATCGACAGTATGGAGAAAAGAGGGTAGGACACGGACTCAGAAGTACAAAACTGATTGATTTATGAGAGTCTGGACTGTCTGGTCTACTGGAGGGAAGGTGGAAATTGTGTCCGGCGAGGGTGAAAGGATGTCTGTTTCAGAACAGCAGCAAAGGAAGGGATTGCCGAGGGGAAAGCTGCCAGAGAAGTACACGGAAAAAGAAAAAGTCTGCAGGCCCGCTGGAGAGTCTGTCTTTGAACACCGAGGCTCTGCGGAGCTTCAGGACGGGGTAAAGAAACAAAAGAAATCTAAATTTGTGACATGGCTTTCGCTTCGGCCTTTATTATTATTCATTTCTTTAAAGTCTTGACCGACAAGTTTCTGAAGCAGATTCTTTTAGATAATTTATGTGAACACGAAACGACCAGCGGAGGAATCTGTGGATAGTTGGAGGATACAATGAGTTCAGTTTGTGGAAAAACCCAAGACACTGAAACCCTGTGGCATGGAAAACTTTTTCTTTCCTTTTTTTTTTGTCCATGTGCTTACTTTATCTCTCAAGTTCACCATAAGGCTCAAATCTGCCTTGAGGTCCAGCATACATGCTCTGCACCTATAGCAGCTTTACTAAACCCAAGAAAAAAAGGAGCTAGCATCAGTGTACGGGGACATTTGATGATGATTATTTAGTTAGATATGAGACAAGCCATAGTAACATAGTAACGTCTGATGTCACAAAGCAAAGGCCTACAGAAGCTGGATTTGAAACCAGAGGTAGAGTTGTGGCATTTAGAGCAACTCAAATGTAGACTGAACTTGCCTTGGCCTTGAAAGTTAGGCAGCTACGTCCACATTTCAACAGGAAGCTCTACGTAGCAAAGAGAACATGTAACTATGTGTGTGTGACTGTAGTCATGCTAATGGATGTTTTGTTTATTTCCATTCTGTTTTTTTCCAATATTTAATCGATTTTTCCTAGTTGTCTATATTCAGTCCGGAGGGTCCAGAAACCAGCTTAGCTCTTTAGTGAAATTTGGAACTGAAAGACGACTGATCTTTAACGTTCGGCTGTCCTCTTGACACGATCAAATCGGCCCGCTGGACGATAGATTCTGACTCTCTGAAAACTCGACCGTGATTTAGCTGCTTTTAAACCTAAACTCCATTTTTTAGAACCATAAAGATGACAGTCACGCGCGCGTCACGCTGCC